AAAAATTTTTTTTATATATATATATATATATATATATATATTGACTAATTATCAAGTACACTCTGCATTCTTTTCATTTCATCTTTCTGACTTGTTTGTGTAAAAACTGTTAGAATTTTTTTTTTCATTTATTTAATTCACTTGATCACACATCATGTCATCATTATGACATTATGAAAAACACCTAAATAGGTCCAAGTGTGCAAATGAATAAATGGTTATTTATGAAGGATAAGTCTAATGTTTTGTAGGAATTTTTCTCACCGAGTTCATCTCCTCCATTCTGTTTTAGGCTTCAATGGCAGAGAACAACATACCTCTATACACTACCGCTTCGATCGGAAGTCCCACTCTTAACTCGCTTGCCTGCGCCATCCGAGAGGAAATGAATGGGGCCATGGACCACGGGAACAGCAACGGTAGTGACAGCAGCCCTGGACGCTCGCCCCTGCCAGCTATGTGAGTGGCTCATGTCCCACCTTCATAGTGTGTGTGTGTGTGACTGAGATAGGGGTGCAAGGTAAAGGGAGATGTCCAGGAGTCATTAGGCTCACACGCATGCAGGGCGATGCTCGTGCGGCTTAAGTGGTGGAAATTTTTCACCAGGTCACTAGGAGTTGAAAATAGTCTCCGAACGCACAGTAGGGTTTGATGTACATTACAGTAGATGTTTAGCCAGCCGTGAAATTATATAGAAAACTGCAGTTTACAGAGGAAGTAGGAATTGTGAATGCAGTCTTAGAAGGAAACCCCACCTTTGGCGGGTTTCTATGTTGGGGGAGCTCATAAAGAAAATATGTGTCTCTCTGTGTTATTTCGAGGAGAAGTTTCTAAACTCGCTTTTCTTACGGGTCAATAGTGTGTGGCGTACTACGCCGAGTTCCTCCCTAATTATTGCCTCCATTTTGTTTAAATATTTACAAAAGTGGTGAATAGAAGATGACAGAACTGGCCTCGTTTTTCCAGCCAGACAGGACTCGCAGCACATCCGAAAACTCTGCGAGCAATCGAGAGTAAAACAACGAAGGGAGGGGTGGGGGGGGTCGTAATTAGCCTCGACGAAACCGCTCCAAGATTTCCATGTAGCTGAGCTGCGGTCGGGGTTGGAAACCACAGCTCCCCATACACTTGTTGTATGGGAGGGACCGCCGTGTTGTTTGAAGCTTAAAATAATACAGTGCAGACAACATGGTTTCCAGATGTCGGAGGACAGAATGGTGATTTGTTGCTCAGCGAAATATATTGCAGTTTCTGTGAAATATCAGCAAATCGTTTTAAAAGAAAAAACGGTGCGGTAATGAACTCGTGAAGATTTGGGTGAGAGAAGTGCTAATGGCAGGTAACATAGCTGCAGGCCTGCCCCATCCTCAGGATACAGAGAGACAGGAAGGGTGTGCTTGCTCTGAGGCGTCTGCCTCTCCCCTCTCCAGGCATTTGCCAACTTAACACACTCAAAAGCAAAGCTGTTGCCCCAAACACGAGCTGTACAAAGTGAGAGAATATATGAGCATACATAAAACATTAACATAAAATGCAATGAGGTTTATTAAGTTAACCAGATTTATGGATCATGTTATCAAGGGCATCGCGTTTCAATTTCGGCGAATAACTTTTTCACTAATAAAACAATTTTATCACTTAGAGATGAGGCAAGGAAAGCTTATTATTATCAAATGTTCAAGCAGATTTTAGATGGGCAGGTTATATCTTTAACCTTCCAATGCAACAATTTATGAGTTATTTATAATTGTAATTGTAATTAAAATATCAAAGTATTCCTAAGCATGTATATGGCCATGATTACAAACACAAAGGAAAATGCATATATTCGGAATATTCAGATTGACATAATTTTAGTTTACATTTTCTGAAAAAAAAAACTTTTTTAAATTTTCATCTAGACATGGTACCATGGTAATACATGTATTTTACCATGGCAATTCCATTTCTATGAAGTATGTTGGATTACCATGTAAAAGCTATAGAACATGAATATTTTAAACACTCACTACTGTGGTATTATCATCTGACACTGTTACTGGTACAAAAAAGTAATGGTACCACCACTTTACTTTTTTGTAAAGCATTATCCTAATAAAACATTTTTCCTTATACCTTTTGGAGGCAAATGCAAAAACACAAAAACTCTTCACAAAAATTCTTTGTACAAATTTGTAACTCAGCCTTTCTTGTATTATGAGTTATTTTGAACGGTGTAATTAAATGTCAAATATTAAAATGATTACATAGTATTGCCAGCCCAAGTATATAATTATTTTTGTCTTAACATTCTACGAGGTAAACCAGGCCTGTAATTATGAGGTAAACACCCGAGTACATTGTTAATATAACCGCTATATACTAGCTTTATTGTTTTTGAATTATACATTCTCCTATGATTTAGAGTCACAATTAATAACATCTAACAAAAGGGCTCCTATAGTGTCTGCACCTGTATGTATTGTTGCAGATTCCTGCAATCAGATGCTTCAGTCCTAATTACAATGAAGGCTAAAGCAGAGTGCAGCTCAGTTGCATATTAATAACAATTTCATGTTTGCCCTCCAGCTAGAGATTGAGAACCGGAGGCCATGGGACACATGGAGACGCTTTGATCTAAAACCGATAGAATGGCGAGAGTTTTCTTATTATCCGCACACAAAATATGATAACTCGTTAGCATGGCTGCTTTTTTAACAATCATGAATGAGAAGCGTATGAGAGGAGAGGTTATTTGGGGGGAAAAAGGATATTGTGGCTAATTACATTTGCTAAACATATCTTAGAGAAAACCTATCCACCTTATTTTTCCTGTAAGAGCAGGAGCGGCCATTTATAAAGTTTATGGGTCTGGCTTCCGGTGTCATTCGCTTCCAGGTTTTTTCTACTGTACAAAACAGCTTGTTTTGCTGCTTGATATGGCAAACTGGTGTGTCTTACCATATTATCGTAATGTATTATCTTAATTATGACCACACTGGTTTGTAGTGCAAACAGTTTTACCATTTACTGTACTTTGTTGTTGTTCTTGTTATTTCCCTACGACGGCTAATGAACCGGAAGTCTTGCACTTTTACAGAAAATGGCTTACTTCCCCATTAAAAAACAAGGTGGATTGTTTGCCATGTGCGACTAATTAGCTTAAAGGCCCTGCCACAGCTGCTTCTTATGTTTATCCTTTTATTCCTTTCGGTTTTGGTCGTCTTCAGCGCTCGCTCATTGGTGCTCTATTCCTGCAGTGTTTCTGTAATGAGAAATTTGGCAGATCTCATCTCTGTGGACAATCCTGTGCCCAGACTGTGGGCCGGGGTTCATGTTTTGCCTTGTTTACAACTGACAGTGTTATTATTCTTGTAAGGGCTCTGTTTCTTATCACAACCGTTTGTGTTGGGCCCCGTCGTCAACGCCTCCCCCTTCCCTTCTCGTCTCGCATGCCTCCCTGCCACTGCTTTTCTTCCCCTTATTGACACTTTCGTTAGAAGTTGCATTAATTTTGCGTGTATTTAAAGCATACGCTGCGCTGTCTGGTCACTGTGTTTTTTTTTTTTTTTGCATGCTTGAAGTTGATTAATGACGGAACCTTGTGCAGGGTTGTCCTCTAGAGACCCGCCTCACAGGTTGTGCATGTTAACGAGCGAGAAGAGGAGCGCGCGGAGCGGCACTGATCCGACACCACCGGGAAGCTGACAGGCCATCCGCTCGCTCGCCACAGTCCATTCTCTCGTCGCCACGTCGCACGTTGTTAATCTCCCTCATTTATCAATTCAAAGTGAAAACCCTGTTGTCAGGCCAGCTGTGTAAAATAAAGCCGGCAGGTATCCTGGTGCTGGAAGAACTGAAAGAGAAGTGGCGTTATCAGGGCACTGCTGTTAGTCTTTCATTATAGAAACAGCTGGTCGTTACACTAGTCCTTCTTATTTTTAGATATTTAACCAGTAGATGGTAGTGACTGCACTGCACAATTATTGCCTACTGTAAATTTATATGCTATGTTTTTTTTTTTTATTATTGTCACAATATTGTTTTGATGCAGAGCCCTTCACTTGACTTGGGGACAAAAATATATTTGTGGCCACAAATTAACAATTCGTTCCCACAAATTAAGAATTTGTCCCATTGTTTATTAATCAGTTCCCTCGTAAATCATGGCCACATATTAAGAATTTGTTCCCACAACTTTTTTCCCTCGTTTTAGTAAATCGTGGCCATGTTGTACTAATTTGTTACCTCGTTTTGATAGTACAATGTGGCCATGATTTACTAAAATGAGGTAACAATTTAATTAGCTGTGGCCATGATATGTATATATTTTTTCCCGCATGTCATGTGCTGGGCTCCATATTTAGATACTATAGATCCATGTATCATTTTTTTTTTTTTTTTATAGTTTTATATAGACCCCACCCAAAACTGAAAAACAATAAAAGTCCAATTAAAGGAAAGAAAAAGAAAAAGCCAATACACAATTTCCAAAGAAAAACTCTTCAAAAATATTCATTCATTAAGAATTATTATTATTATTTTAAATAATATATTTAAGTTAATACATTTTATATTATTATTATTATTATTATTATAGCTTTTTTCTGAGAATGGAGGCTTTTGTGTGAAAATAAATTAGCATTCCTATTCCATTTTATTCCCAGGCATCATATCAGCGTAAAAGAGGAGCCACTGGACCCCGAGGAGCACGAAGGTCCCCTTTCCCTTGTGACGACAGCCAATCACAGTCCAGACTTTGACCACAACAGAGATTACGAGGATGACCACGGTCACGAGATCATGCTGTAAGCCTGGTTTCTCCCAGGTCCTCTGCTGAAGAGGCCATACTAACTGCGGTCACCTGTGAGACCACTCCAGAAATGGCAAGCCCAAGACTGGATTCCCAATCCTCTTGTTGACAGCTATTAAAATGTTCCAATTTACTCTTAGTGCCATTGAATACGAAACAAAATACGAGATAAGAAAATCTATTCCATTTGGAAGTATTTTTGATTTGTTTCTACTTTTCGGTTTAAAGACGAGACGTGTACATTTCTACTCATCGCCTGATGAAGAGTCGTTTGGTACTGGGGCCTGCTTTTACTTCCTTTTGGCATAAGTGTCACTGAGACCAGAGCGGACATGAAAACACAGCTGAGAAAGACTCATTAATAAACACTGATCACGAACTCTCACACACACAAATCATAAGCGCTTTAATGAGCGGGCCTCTCACAGTGTGCGTGTACATATTTGACTTTAATTCATTGTCTCTGCCTTCCGATCTTCTCAAAAGGGCCGTTCACCCAAAAATGAAAACTCTGCCATCATTTGCTCACCCTTATGTCGTTCCAAACCCGTATGACATTCTTTCTTCCATGAAACACAAAATGATTCGTTTTGAAGAGTGTACTTGGTTGCTTTTTCATATGATCAATATAATGAAAGTGAATGCTCTTTCTGAGTTCATAAGAGAAGTAGGGTTGTCTGAACTGTGAGCGAATCACTTTAAGTCGGATCTTTTTAGTGAATTAGTTGACGTTCAAAACCTACTGACTGATTCTCAAGTTCAGCTTACTGATCAGTGATCTGCTCATGGCTCAAAGAAAGGCAATGTTTTCAGTGAATGGTAACTTAGATTTTGGATTCTTAGATTCTTACCCAAATCGATCTACAACTTCAGAAGACTTGGAATATAGGAAAACATTATGGACACCCTTTATGATGCTTTTATGTCGCTCCACTCCTCATTAATTGTAATTGCATGAAAAAGAGCAGCTGGTACACGCTTTAAAATGTCTTATTGTGTGTTTTAGGGATAAAAGCAAAGTCATACAGATTTTGAACAAGAAGATTTTGAATAAATGACAACATTTTCCTTTTTTTTAAGTGCACTATTCCTTTCAAATTCGCTGTCATCGCAGCTGGAGGATATCTGTCTGGTGTTTTGAGGATTCCTGTGAGTGTCTTCTCATTACTCTGTGCTGTTAGCTATATATCCTTTTTGTTGGGTTTGTTTGTTTTGGTAACTGATCAGACCTCATGAATAATGACATGGAGTTATGGCGTGCTTAGCACTGGATGAATGTTAAGGCTTCTCATGCTCTCTTTTTTGCCTCTTTCTTTCCTTTCGAAATTGAAACAGAATGTCGCATTACCGTGTAGTATTTTTCTGTCATTTGTTCCTAGCGTTTCGGATCACCACTTTGCAGTCACATTGCCCTTGCGTGCCGACACAAACACACACACACACAACTCTCTCTTTCTCGCTCATGAAGTCCATCTGCAAATGCACTACTTGTAATGAAGGCTCCCTCTCCACGCACCAATGAAGTTTAATTTTCACGTGGAATGAATGACAGAGAAATCAACGCAGGTTAACGTTTATCGTTCTGAAATTATACTTTCAAAAATCCCCTTTTGTGGTGATGCATGTTAGCGTCAACCAAATCGCTGATCGAAACCATCATCTGTACTGCAAAATGAAATGTCAAAAATGTTGAAATAAGCACCAGGGAGAAGATTGTTAGGCAAAAGCTAATTGTGATTTCAGAGCGTTATTGTCGGCATATATGAAACTTTTTTTTTGCCTTTTTATTCAATTCTGTCATTTCAAAGACTTTAAACTGCATTCCCTCTAGCTTCAATATCTGACTCGCCACATCAATGACCAGCTCAGTCTCTGTTATTAGACATGATAATAATTGCACACGAGATAAACGTTAAAGGGGTTATAAACCGAGGCTGACGGCACAGCCATGACCACTGAGCATTACAGCACTGGGGCAGTCCACTATGACCATTCGCTTCTTGCCACATCTCCTTGGAAACAATCGTTTCCGACTGGCTGTTTCCACGCAGGCCTTTTGAATCCGGGAAGCAACTCCGAATTGGAAGCTCTCCGAATTGGAAGCTGCTGTTACTGGCTAGTTTTTATTAAAATTTTGGGACTGCTTAAGGATGAGAACAGACTTTAGATTAGGCTTCTACAAATCGTACCGACTGCGTTTTGTTTTTCGAATGACTGCAACCAACCACTTTCTGTGTTCTTATTTATTACTTCCATTTTTATTGTCATTTTGTTTTTACTTAAGTTGATGTTTATGCATCTCATCTGTGACTACCAAAGATACAAGATACTACAAGTTGATATATTCTATGTTCCATGCAATAGCTAAACGAAAGGCCAAATATCCTTATAGTGTTCCCCGCACTGGCCGGACGCAAGAATTATGAAATGTCTGTTACTGTGTCTGGCTTATTATGGTGAAGAAGAAAAAAAGCCAAAGGGTTGTTCGATGGGCAGCTGTATGTCTTTGCCTGTTACCAAAATAGTAGATCGAGACCAACACACGACCAAATCAAAGCAATGTTGTCTTTGGGCCAATGAAAAGGAAAAAAGGGAGTGTTCTATCGGGAAATGATGGCTATAAAGGAGAAGGATATGGATGAAAGAGTTTAGGACTGTTCACTGTTGTCACAGGAAATTTAAATCCAGGAGGGGGAAAACATTTGCATAACACAATGTGAATTAAACTTCAAACTGGACCACACAATGATGAGTTTCATTTGTTCTCATACTTTAGAATTTTTTTTTGCCATTTTATTTTTTTAAAAAATTGTATGCCACTTACCTTGTAAATTCGAACCGGGATTCCCAATGTCCTTTTGTTAACCTTGGCAATGCTCTATGATGTTTTAGTGTCTGTCAACTTATTACTTTTTTATATTAAAAAACACTCCTGTCAACCAATAAGCTGGGTACAAGGTACTTTAATGGCAGTTACTACTCTTTGTAAATTTATCCAAGCATTTCGTATTGATGAGAAGGATTCACTGAAATGAATGGAGCATCCGGGCAGCTGCAGTGGGACAGATTCGGGGCTCATCTGAGGGCCGTTTCTGATTGTTATTCTTGAGCAGGTAGATGAGACCATTCACCGCATGTGTAGCTCGGCATTACTGAAGAAATACAGCATGAGAAACTGTTAGTATGCATACCTCAATTCAAACCTCTAGGGAATGAGTAACTAAGAAAAAGATGTAACTTTTCACTCAGTTGCACTTAGTTGTATGTCTTGCATGTTTAGTCTAAAACTATTTTAAGAATTTTTTTTTTTAATGTATACAAATCAGAGCTTGTTTATCATGAGGGTCTCTTTTTTTCCCTTCTTTTAAACCAATCCAAACCTCAGGCTCTTTTGTCGTTAAGAAACGCCACTCAGCTTGCTTCAATATTATCTCTTCTTCAATTTATTTTGCTTCTCACATGCAGTAAACTGTTTCCTGTCTCTGCTCTTTTAGCTCATGTTGAAGTAGGTTGTACATACACCACATTATAGCTTGTGTGTCCTCCCATTTTCTCCTGATTCTTTTCAAAGAACAAAAAAAAATACTGTTTGTATCACCATGTTTGCTTTATCACAACTGCTTTGTATTTACTATTAAAAAAGACGGAAAACCACAAAGAAATGAGCTACTGCTGTATGTATTCCAATAGCAAACTGTGCCACAAATGTAATTGACTTCATAATCCTTGCTTTTTCTGGGGGGGGAAAGGAAACTTGCAGACATCTGTGAGCGACAGGGGAGGGAATGGATCCGGGGATAATCCGCCGTTTTTGGATTCTAAAAACTGAAAACAGATTTGTCTCTGTTATCACTGACGGAAGAGTTTTGGACGCTCTTTCCTTGCGTTAAGCTGTGTTTAATACGTTCAAAAAGATCCTTTTTTTCTGGTCTAGATTACCTATAAAAGCAGGTGTACGTCCTCCGGAGCACAAGGGAAAATACTTGCATGTCATTTTCTTAATAATTACTCTTTCTCGTTTTCCTGTAAAACTATCAAAATGTGCAATTTTGATGTTAAGTACATTTCTTGAAAGGGTTTTAAGGCTTAGTTCAAGATAGGAGGTTTGTTTAGAATAAGAAAAGCATTTTGCCAGTGTGGTATGTGATCTAAACAATGAAATACATTATTATAACTTAAATATAATTTTTTTTATACTACCATATTTAAATTATTTTTTTGATTTCCAGTAAATATACTGATAAAGAAAATGGTTGCTGTGAGGAAAGTCTATGAATCATGAACACATCATAATATTGATTTGTGAGTACTATTTCTTTAAAAATAAGAAAACTAAGCAGAGCAAAGATGTTTAGACAGTTTATCAAATTTGTCTTTATGGCCCATAAGCAGTAGTTTTCACATATTCAATTCATGCAATTAAACAATATTTCAGCTTCTGGAAACCACCAAAAAGCCATTTTTTTTTAATGCATATCATATTACAAATCATTTCAACAGAAACCCAACCATCTCTGATCCTCCTCCAGCAGACAGTTAGTGTCAGTCATTCTGCTCTCATACACTATGAATGACTAGATCATGATCATGCCTGTAAATCATCACAAATATTCTTGTTTATTCTTCTTTCTGTCTCTGCTTTTCCTTCTATAATTCCCACTTTTTCTGTTCTAATCTAAAATCTTTACTTTCTCACTTTGCTGACTCAGTGTCTAAAACTGACTGGCATGTTCGATATAGACACAATAGAAATTGCGGTTTGTTTCTGAATTATATGCATCTTTCATCACCTGTGCTGCCATAGTCACACTATAATAAGCTAGAGAGAGAATTGTTTTTTATATATGCACACGTCATGCAAAGACATCAAGCAGAACTGAACTGCATTTATCAGTTTCAGCACAACATTACTGAGCGTCTTCCATTAGATTACAGATGCAGATATTTGTGCTGTTTGTTATCGAACGCTCATCATGAAGTCCATAATGACCGGCACTATCACGGCAGCTCGCACATTAAATTACCTTCTAATTAAAAAGAGACAGTTAAACTGTCCTTTACCAACAGCAATTTAGGTAACTGCATTTGACCAACTATAAATTTTTACTGCATTAAAATCCCAGAAATATTAGCGATATGGATTTCTTGATGGAAATTAATGTTGATGATGAGGAGTTTGCTTTTTATGAGGGATGCACGGGGTCATGTTAGCCACTAAACAGCAGACAGAGATCAGGCCTAAGCATTTTTAATCTTGTGAAACAAGCCATTACAAATAGTTGCATTGATTTGTTAAAAAGCTTTAGGTAACATAAATTGTTTCCTGCTTAGCTTATTGCTCTGATACATAAATGTCATTGGGGATATTATTAATTAAAGATGCTGGCAGACAAGATTTAAAGGAAATCATATAAAATTATAGTTAGACTTTTTGCTGGTAATATTTTATCCTTTATGTGGAGCTTCTTAATTGTATTGCTGTTGTCTCTCTGATATTACCTGCTCAAAAGAGCAAGCCAGTTTTCTCCTAGTCCGCTGTCATAATCATAGGTTTGCACCAGGGTTATTAAAGTTAACTACAACAAAAAAAAATCATTAAAAAATAATAATAATAATTAAAAAATAAGCAAAAAACAATAAATAAATGTAATATAAAGTAATTCAATTTAATTCAATTTAAATTTTATTTCAGCTAATTGCCAAGGCAACATTTCTCATTTTAATTTAGGTTAATCTGATGTACTAAAAACTAAACCTGAAAGAAAAATTTATTAAAAAAAAAAAATAATAATATATATATAGATTTCTCATTTTAATTTAGGTTAATCTGATGTACTAAAAACTAAACCTGAAAGAAAAATTTATTAAAAAAATAAAATAATAATATATATATTATTATTATATATATTATATATATTATTATATATATACTGAACAAAATTAGAAATGCAACACTTTTGTGGTGGGGTTATGGTATGGGCAGGCGTATGTTATAGACAATGAACACGGGTGCATTTTATTGATGGCGTTTTGAATGCACATACCGTGACGAGATAATGCATGGCCCCATGTTGCAAGGATCTGTACACAATTCCTGGAAGCTGAAAACATCCCAGTTCTTGCATGGCCAGCATTATATATATATATATATATATATATATATATATATAAGAAAGTTTATTGTTATGCCTGATTATAAAAGATAAAAAGCCCTTTATCCATTCACACTATGCTGCTATATTTTGTCTTTGAATATACAATGTTCAAATATATGTGTTCATGGTATTTAAATAAAAGGATTGCTCCCTGATCACACATCAGATCCTTCATTGCCTACATTCTCATTTGTACTTGTTCATTCAAGGTTTGAAAGGAGTTTGTTTTCAGTCAACCACTCGCGTACGTTTATATAAAAGCAAAGTTATGCCATTCAGCGTCAGAGTGTTTTTGCAAAGCATGAATACCTTTTGATCTTAAAATGAAAATATACCTTAAAAAATCCAAACTGTCTCTCTCAAGTCATTCACACCAGTCTACTTATGTTACCAAGTGAGAGTCTAGCCTTTATTACCAAACCCACGGTCTGCGTAGGCTTTTGGAAATTAAATGGACAGATTAGTGCATTATATTATTTACATATATTGAATTGCGGTAACAAGACTCCGTTCCTACCCCTCGTTTCATTCTAATTAAAGTGTGGCAATGCAAAAGCAATTCACACAAGAGCTTTGCTTTAATAGTCAGAGCTGGCAAATTCCCAATCCTGCGACGTGGCAATTAGCAGGGGCGGTAGTGTTTGCTATTCACGGTTTGATGTTTAAAAAAAAAGAGAGAAAAGTTTATTAAGATGAGCTGCTTCGGGCACTGGTGAGCAATAGACCTGCTGCAATTAGATTCCAATTATTTGTCAGGTTCTGATATTGTAAACCGCCACTTAGTGCATCAGTTAAATTGACATACTGTGCTGCTTAGATTAGCCTGTAATTAAAACATTTTGTGTTAATTAGATGATGACCACTTCATTCCAGGGCCTCTTGTGTTTGGAGCTTGTGTTATTTTGATTTGCATTGGGCATGCTGTTTGGATCATGGGTTGTCAGATGCTGATTAATCAGCCAATGTTTTGTTTCAATTGCTGCCAGCTGTTACAGGCCTCTCTGGGCTGCATATCAACACAGAACTGGATGAAAATTAAGTACAGAAAAAAAACGAATTAGTTGAAATATTGGGATAAATAATATGCTTAAAAATAATAAATGAATAATAAATAATTGATTAATATAATACTATTTTTATATATTTATTTTTTAAATAAATATACTTTTTTTAATTCATTTTAAGCTTCATTTTATGATTAATATTATATTTTTTCCCAACAGCATGATGATGATCATATAATCAAACATTCTTCTCTTGTGCTAAAAGGAAGCATTGTTGCATTAATTCTGCAGATTTTCCATATTCAAGCAAGATCTCAACACATACTGTAACTGTAGGAAAATTAAGAAAAAATAAATTAGTATATATAAAGCATATAATTTAATAAAAGCATTATTTTATGATAAATATAAAATATTCAGATTCATTTACTTAGGACCAGTTGACAAAAATATGTATAATAAAAAAAAATATGTATATATATATAATAAAACATTTTTCTCTTGTGCTAAAAGGAAGCATTTTTTGGATTATTTTCACACATTTTCCATATTCACGCAGGATATCTGAATAATTTAGATGATGCAAAACATGAATAATTACGAGTCTCATCGCTATCTGCCACCATGCATTAATGGAGGTGACCAAGTTTACTTTTGATTTACATATCATGAGTGGAAAAAGCACATTTGCAAATGCATTAATCTAAGGTCAATACATATTTAACCACTAAAGTAGGTCTGAATGACTGTGGAGACGTTCTGTGTAGTATTATATACATGTACAGAGAATGCAACTTAGTGTCTCTAGTACCATTGTGCTTATATATCAAAGTAATTAAGTGGAACTGTAAGTTTTGAGGTTTTATGTCAGAATGTTTCTGTGTTTTACAGATTGCTCATTTCCAGGTTTAAAATAAATAATTATGGAAAGTCAGTGTAACGCTGAACATTCGGAAAACATGAAATCCTAAAAGCAGCAGGCCTGCATTTCCCAGCTGTCTCATTAATATTTGGCACATTACTGTTTGAGATTAGAGCCTTTACTTTACAGCCCTTTACTTCTGTACATACTTTTACAGATACGTATTAAAGCAGCTTCTGATGGGGCTCTCAGCCTGTGCAACTCTCCGCATCTCTCATTTCAGCCCAGATTTAATGCTCTTCTTCAGAGGAGGGGATGGAAAATAACTGTCATTAAAATATGTCATGGCAGCTGTTTACCTGCAGTGAACCTTGATTGAAGCAGGTCTGACTTTACACTGATGCCCCTCTAATCTGTATGACTGGCATGTTAATTTCCCCAAAGCTGCCATTCAAAAACACAAACATGAAATGTTGGTTTTAGGTCTGGGAGCCCAGCTAGAGTGAATTTCAAGTACTTATTCAAATATTTCATTAAAATGTAAATTTTACATTGGTCCAACGCCTAGCTGTGCACAAGGCATGACTTAAGAAGTTATGAAGTTATAACACCAATCTTTTTTTTTCCTGCC